TTATTTACTGCCAGTCTTACAGAAACGGTCCTATTACGAAACTTCTCGAACGATGAAGCTTATCATGTTTGCAGCAATTAGGGAAGATAACTCTGAATTCTACTCACCCGCTGTCGTGGCCAGTGTTTGAATATTTATGTGAGATGATAAATCGATATAAAATTGAAGACGATGCTAACATTGTAGTCGTGGATATTCTGAATACGCCGGTGTCGCCATTGTCGGAGAGGGGCGATATCAGCTGACTGTGTTTGTGACTGATACATGGAAGATAGCATGTGGTGGTTAATAAACTCATGGTTTGTATCATCGATCGAGTGCTTGGTTAGACATGGTATGATCTAGTTCAGCCAGCTAAACGTCGTGTACCTACCAAGGTATACACCGATGGTATACCAATGGTATACAGATTAGGGTTGGGTATTGCCAAAATGTTCGTATTGCGATATATTGTGATATGTGTTGGCGTATTGCAATATGTATTGCAATATATTGTGAAAGTGTAACACATGGGTTAAGGTAATTGAAATTACTGTTTCCTTTCTTATGAAACAATGCCACTGGCCACTGCCAGGACTCAGATGTGATTATACAAGAGATCAATTGAAAATGTTTCCAAATTGAAGACTTCACTCTAAAGTTTGTGACTCGGGGAAAATGCGTCTGCAGCGGCGTCAGCCATTTTGGGTTGTTTATCCTTACAACGAGTGCCGGTATTAATCTATTTTATTTATTTATATGGTTTAAAGGGTTTAAACAATCTCAAAACTATTAATGTATAATAATATAAAGGAAATAAAAATGTTTCTAGTAGTTTTGACTATATCACGAATATATATATATATATATTGCAATATACCGGTTAACCGGTATTATCGCCCACCCCTAATACCGATGGTATCGGTGTATACCTTGGTAGGAACACGACGTTTAGCTGGCTGAACTAGGTATAATCAAGAACAGCATAAACAACATTAATACCTGTTCTGACACGGAAATGTGTTGCTTGCCCTTTTCACACTCAGAAACTGTGGGTTGTTTTGCTCGGAACCTGTTTTGTCGAGTATTAGACACAGTATAGGTCGTATAAGATGCTGTATGTTGATTTGAGATCGATTACTTGACGATGGGGATGTTTTCAGGAACAGGCATATGTCGAATAGGAAAGGAGAGACTCTACTAAGGCCAACACACTGAGTGTTCATGTGAGATGGCATTCTTCCTGACATACCATGTGGGCCTGGAGCTTGTGAAGTGAGTCCAGTAACGTTACATGTCGACCTTACTGATTGAAACAAACAATTCATTCGGAGGACGTCGTTTCAGGGACACGGCAGTACGTAACTAGAGACGGGGAACGGTGGTGCAAGATTAGGTACGGCATACCAGATCCCAGACAGGGTACGGTGGAACAAGGATGAGTGATTGGGTATGGATACATTTACATACCAATAAAGTCGTTATACTTTTGCATACCAATACAGCAGGGGTACGTTTACATGCCAATACAGCAGGGGTACGTTTACACGCCAATACAGCCGGGATACGTTTACATGCCAATACAACAGGGTACGTTTACATGCCAATACAGCAGGGGCACGTTTACATGCCAATATAACCGGGGCACGTTTACATGCCAATGCAGCCGGGAAACGTTTACATGCCAATACAGCAGGGGTTTACATACCAATACCAGGGCACGTGCCAATACAGCCGGGGCACGTTTACATGCCAATACAGCAGGGACACGTTTACATGCCAATACAGTAGGGGTACGTTTACATGCCAATACAGCCGGGGCACGTTTACATGCCAATACAGTAGGGGCACGTTTACATGCCAATACAGCCGGGGTACGTTTACACGCCAATACAGCAGGGGCACCTACATGCCAATACAGTTTACATTTACATACCAATACAGTAGGGGCACGTTTACATACCAATATAGCCGGGGCCAATACAGCCAGGATACATACCAATACAGCAGGGGTACGTACCAATACAGCCGTGGTACGCTTTACAAGGGTACGTTTACATGCCAATACAGCCAGGCTACGTTTACATGCCAATACAGTCGGGGTACGTTTACGATGCCAATACAGCCGTGATACGTTTACATGCCAATACAGCCACGGTTCTTTTACATGCCAACACAGTCGGGGTACGTTTACATGCCAATACAGCCGAAATACGTTTACATGCCAATACAGCCAGGTTTTTTTACATGCCAATACAGCCGTGGTACGTTTACATGCCAATACAGCCGTGTTACGTTTACATGCCAATACAGTCGGGGTACGTTTACATGCCAATACAGCCGGGGTATGTTTACATACCAATACAGCAGGGGCACGTTTACATGCCAATATATCCGGGGTACGTTTACATGTTAATACAGCCGGATACATTTACATGCCATTACAGCCGGGATACACTTGCATACCAATACAGCCGGGATACACTTACATACCAATACAGCAGGGGTACGTTTACATACCCATTTATCCGGGGTACGTTTACATACCCATTTAGCCTTGTTACGTTTACATGCCAATACAGCCGGGATATGTTTACATGCCAATACAGCCGTGTTACGTTTACACACCAATACAGCAGGGGCACGTTTACATGCCCATTTAGTCGGGGTACGTTTACATGCCAATACAGCCGGGATACGTTTACATACCAATAAAGTCGTTATACTTATGCATACCAATCAGCTGGATACGTTTACATACCAATATAGCCGGGGTACGTGAACATACGAATACAGCCGGGATACGTTTACATGCCAGAACTGAATGGCATGGGTAGTGGGTACCATTGTACCCTGGTAACGGGTGCGATTTCAATGCTATCAATCATTGGTTTCTCTGACATATATGTACAGGGTCAAAACCAACACCTGGTACTTGAAGACACGCTCTATAAAACGAGGTGGTTTAACAACTCAGTGAACAAATTTCAGTATCGCGTGTGACCACCGTTTGCCCACTGAGACACAGAATGACTGGTGATTGAAAACGGCCTGCGCAAGCAAAGATTTGGCCAGACAGAGACAGCGTTACCGAGTGGTACTGGTCCTGTCGTAGGCGTCGATGCATTTTATTTCGAACATCTTCTGTGCGGGAGAGGTCGAGGGAAATAGCTGTATTGGCGGAATACAGCAATATTATGTTTCTCAAACAATCTGTTACAATACGAGCAACGTGTAAGTAGGCGCTATCCCTCTGCAATGTGACGCTACGTCCCTGTACATCTAATTCCTAAAGGGCGCCATTCAAACGTCCCTTGCCTGTAATGACCCGTGTTATCCCATTAGTTGTGATGCGACCCCATACCTTTCCACTTCAATACCCAAAGTAACGTTGTTGAGTAGCGCAGACGTCACTAAGTACGCCTGCACTGTGCCCTGCTCGAGTTTTCAAGGTTTCACTGGACTTATCTGTAAACTGTCCAAGTCTTGTCTTCTGAACATCGGATAGCGACAACACAAAAGTAGGCGTGTGTGTGCCGGTGACGTCGAAGTCACTTGACTCCGGCGTGTTCGTTTCTAACTCTAACTGGTCTCAACCCAGGAATTGCTGGAGCTGCTAATGTGGCAGTTTGTGTTTTTGACGACGTCACACGTGGAGGTCGGCAACGTCTGGAGAATCATGGAGTAGGATATTGTCCTGCTGTGGATGATCTATCTAAAGAGATAATACAGTGTTTCAATCTATAAACATCATTACGTTTTTCAGCATACATGCGACGCGTCGACGTTAATTTTTCTGCAAGCCCTTCATTATTGACGGTAAAAGAAATCCCCAAAATACTGACACAACACGATCATCCCCTTCTGAGTAGTATCAACCTTACCTTCAGTGAGAGATGACGGTTTCAGATGTTACAGTCATATTATTGGTACAGTAGTGTTAAAGAGTTCGCCCATCACGGTTAAAGAGTGTGTGTGTTTAGATATATACTTGATTGAGCTCATTTCTTTTGACTGATTCCGTTCTGTAAAACTATTTTTTTCTGCCTAAACAGATGGTTTCAATCAGAGTGAGTGTGAGTGAGTGAGAAATATTCCAGCTATATGGCGGTGGTCATGTGTCAACCAGGTCAGCGAGCCTGGGTTTCAATCAGAAATAACCTTGTGATCAGCGCTTTCTGGACAACGGCTGTGGGTGATCCCGGTCGACACCAGTGAAGGATCAGCCTATTCCAACTGACTAACGCCTGGATGTATATGGGGTAGTGGGACAGTGTAGTGTTTTTTAACGTCCGCCCGTCATGCCGAAGACCCGGGTTCGATTCCCCACATGGGTACATTGTGTAAAGCCCATTTCTGGCACCCCCGCCATGATATTGCTGGAAAATTGCCAAAAGCGGCGCAAAACTAAACTCACTTACTGACAGATAATTCAGCCAGCTAAACGTCTTGCTCCTACCAAGGTATGGTGTATACCTTGGTAGGAACAAGACGTTTAGCTGGCTGAACTAGATGACAGAATACTATTTGTTGTACCTCGCTCAACAACACACCGGCAAGACACTCAAAACTTATCACGTAACATGATAAATGATACTAGTCTCTGTCCCGGTATAGTAAGGACGTTGAACAAGGAAGCGCTCAATATCTGTCACATTCAAAATTATATGGTTATACATGGTTAATGGTATATTTTACACGCGCTTCAGTACATTATTGCGACGTTTTCCGTGTGTTAACAGATACGTACGGTTAGTTCCCTTTAGTTTTGGTCCGGAAAAGAAATCCGGGTGGAAGATTACATACTACTTGTACACAGCCTACTTACTACCTGTAGTAAGTCAAAATTAATATGACCTCCACAACAGTAATTACGATCAGAATCCACATAATATTTATTAAAATTATTAATTACAGTTTGACTTTTAATATATAAAGGTAACTTTTTGCCAAACATCCAACTGAAGTTTGAAAATAGCCGAATGAGTGAAATGAGTTGTTAGCTAAATACACTATATGACGTCAAATACAAACAAGAGTCACAAGAAGATAAGTCACAAATATTGCCTAATAATATTGAAAACACGACCCGTTATTCATTCAGATTGATTGAACAGAAGAAGTCGACTGACTGCTATTCGAAGCCATGGACAGTATCCTTTTTCTCGTCTGTTTTGGTCTAGACTCGTAAGTATGTATTGGTAGTAAATCCAGTGAAAATATCCACAGACACAAGAGAAGACTTCCGCCTTATTTAATTGTTCGATTGATGTATAGACCAACGTTCCTTTCCTAAAAGTCAGACACTAGTGTTTTATGCATATGTCGTCAATACCATGTCTCGAGTTTGTACTAAAACACTCAAAATCTTGCTCCACTGTTCGATGTGTGTTCAGAAACTTTGTTTTCCTTGTCAGTGACAATGTCGATCATAAGTCATAGTCATACAGTGTTTACATGGTGTGTAATGGTAGTCACATTCGACCGTTTCTTTTGTTATTAGAAAAGACATTCTTCTATTGTGTGTGTATCATTAGCATGGTTGAAAAAGCCAACCTCTCCAGGGCAGTTATGATCACAATTTGTCAATCACCAATGTAAATCCCAATAATAATCATGTTAATTAGACATATTTATGTAGTGATAAATACATAATAATATTTATATTGACATTCTTATGAAATGGTTCTCACAGGGAACAGGGGCGGTGGGGTAGCCTAATGGTTAAAGCGTTGGCTCATCACGCCGAAGACCCGGGTTCGAATCCCCACATGGGTACAATGTGTGAAGCCCATTTCTGGTGTCCCCCGCCCTGATATTGCTGGAATATTGCTAAAAGCGGCGTATAACCAAAATCAGTCAGTCAGACAGGGAACATTACACAAGTCCTTCAATACAGCTCATCACACTCTCAATGAGAATGTTCATTTCATGTTTATTTTGTATTGTACTTTATTATGTAACCATGGTAACATACATTGTCAGCTGATTACTTATTTCCATCACAAATATGTATTCTAGGTTCAGCCATTTTGATCCAGGTTAATATTGCTGTGTTTACTGTTTGCTGTAAAGACACTGTCTCTTCAGAGTTTTGTTTTGTTTGTTTCACAAATGTTTGTTGTTTAATATGTTTAACGCCTGGTCCTCAGCAATAATCCAGGTATAATAGGCAATGGTCTGTAAATAATCGAGCAGAGACCATATAACAATACACCGTCCCCCTGTTATGTGGTCTCTGGTTAGAGAAACAATTAAATGAGTATCTGAAGTCATCTTAACTTTAATCATAAACATCATACACATACAGCAATGCCCCAAATGTGTTGTGGATATTTCCTTGACAATGTGCAGAACATCTTTTTAATCTCAAGTTTGCCGCTAAGGATTTGGAAAGAAATGCCAAAAAAAGTGAAAAGTCAGAAAAGGAAGAAAAAGTTAAATTGAAAAAGGTAAGTTGACATTTTTTTTAAATATCACCATGGTTTGATATGTTGTCCAAAATTTTAATTACAGGTTATGACTTAAAAAAATATCAACTGGGAATCTGTTACCATGGTGCTTTTGAATTAGTAATATGATTTTCCTTCATGGTGATTCCTTATGTCTGAGGTATGTTCAGTATCTGTTGTTTATCAGAAGACAAAGAAACAAACAACTGGACAGGGTGTGGTTGATTGACTGGGATGAATGCATGTCACTTGTCAGCTTGCCATGATCTTATTAGTTTTTGCTCATGTTTTCAGTCACCTGTTTGCAGACTACCATAATCATGATAATATACTCGGATCTTACCTCCAACTGCATATACCTTGTTTCAATTGACACTATCTTACCTTTTCTTCAGTTCATGTTTCTTATCAGTTACTCAGTGGGCATTCAAGTCCCATGTTCCCCATGAGAGATAAAATGCAAATTTCATATTCCCCACATGGAAATGCCCAACCTGTTACCAATGTGAATGCAATGTGAAACTGAGCTTGCAGTCAAAGGCAGATATGAAACTGAACCATGCATATCTGATTGCAATGGTAATGCAAGTGCGAAAACTGAGTGTGTTTGCATCATCCTTTAGCTGTTGTGCTATCTGTGGAACCATTCGATATATGTACCAATGAACTTTTTTCAGATAAATGGGTGAAACCTTTTCCAGTTAGATAGATTCATTGTCTCTGTATATGATGTGATGTACCCCACGTGTAAGCATGGTAAGCCTACTGGCTCAAAATACATTGGTTTACACACAAGTTACATCACACTGTTCACTGATCCGATAATACATATCACTGTCAGTGATTTAGCATGTCCATGTAACTCATCTGTGGGAGGATGGGTATTAGTGCCCAGTTATCTGATCTGTGCTTACACTTATGTGGCTACGTACAGGCAATACAGAAAGGCAACATGGAGGGTGCCAAGATCCACGCTGAGAACTCCATCCGCCAGAAGAACCAGGCCCTCAACTACCGCCGTATGAGTGCACGGATAGACGCTGTTGCAGCCCGGGTCCAGACAGCGCTCACCATGAAGCAGGTCACCGGCTCCATGGCTGGTGTGGTCAAGTCTATGGAATCTGCAATGAAATCAATGAATTTAGAGAAGGTATGTGTTTGTCATCAGGCTTTTTCTGTGTGTCCGGCTGGTGTCCCAATGAACTGACTCAGCAAAGATCTGATAAATGTGAGACTAGCTTAAGTCTGGAATATATGTATTTATATACAGTATAAAAAAATAGTTAATCATGTTAAGGCCAGACCAATTTTATTTCTTGTTTTACTGATTTTTGTCCTCAGAAAACCTAAAGGCAGGAGGGAAAAAAAATAAAAATAAAAATAAATAAATACTAAAAATATTTTACTTTGGTCAATTTATGAAGTGTTTATGGGGCAAAACACAATCTAAAAAAACTTTTCTTGTAAATTTACATTTTTGAGCAGTAAAACATTAGGATTTTATTTTTTGAAATTAACTTTTGTTTGTTTTCCTATTCTTGAACAAATACAACCGACAGATCCGTAAAACAAGAAATCAAATTGGTCTGGCCTAATGAACCTAATAGCAATGTAAATACCTAGATCACCTAGAATATCATGTGCCACAGATGGCTGGAATAATGATATGGCAGTACTGACTTATCATGTTAAATAGGGTATTCCACTTTCTATTGAGATACATATCCTGTAACCAGTTGGTGGTATTGCTTCAATTTGAGTCTGCAAAACACGTCAGTCATCTCTGCGTTCAAATTACACTGAAGTGTGAAGAGGTAAACTTGCCCGAAAATCTACTTACTGTTATTGTATAAATCATGCTGATCCAGAGTGTTAGATATCCAGGGAGAAGCAACACCTTGCAAATAAGTTCAGGGTAGTTATCATAAGAGAATTAATACATGTGACGTTTGAGGATGGAAATACACACATTGTAAAAGAATCAAATTGTATAGCTTGCAGTAGAGGTTAACGATTATCGATGTCTATATAGATAGCCAGCCCTAATAGCTGCTGGTATCACCAGTAAACTTCTATCTGATTTCACTTTCCTCCAGAGGTTGGAATGACATCAGTGAAGTAATCCAACCTTCTCGCTTGTGTTTTTTACAGGTGTCAGTATTGATGGACAGGTTTGAGCAGCAGTTCGAGAACCTGGATGTGCAGTCGCAGGTGATGGAGAACACCATGTGCAACACATCCACACTGACCACACCCCAGGGGCAGGTGGACAGCCTCATGCAGGAAGTGGCCGATGAAGCTGGGTAAGTGGTCAGCTGAGCATGTAGTTCACAGGACCTCAGATGGATATGGGAGAAGGCCCTTATTCAACAAAGCCCAAATAGTGTTATTGATGCTGTATGTGCTGATGGTTACTTTCTGGTGTCCCTTACCTTCATGAGAACATTTTACTGAAAGCAGCTTAAAACTATTTTCTCTCTGTCATCCTCTCACTCACTCACTCACTCAATATGTGTTTGTTTAAGAAGTGGACAAATGGCAACTATATGTCAAATGTTCTCTGGGGACTAATGCTCACATGACCCCAACATTTCTGAGCACTACTGGAGTGAGTGAGTTGGGTGTCTATGTTGCGTTTAGCAATATTCCAGCAATATCACTGCAGGGGACACTAGAAATGGGCTTCACACATTGTGTCCATGTCAGGAATTGAACCCAGGCATTTGGCTTGACAAGTGAACACTTTAACCACTTGGCTACCCCATCACTATTGACCCTTAAACATGTAAACATGTATTTCTGAAACCGTTATACAGACCAGCTGCCATTTTGAGCAAATATGTTCACACTCATTGTCAGTATGGAGTTACTGTGTTACTCTCTGCCAGGTCAAGAATTAATCATGTTTGTTGAGTGCCAGGATTCAGTTGCCATAGTTCAAGACATTTACTGAGTTGTCTCCCCTGCACTGTCAGTGATTGTGCACAGAGGTATTCAAATTAATTTATTTTACACAATTTTCAAAACTGATTAGCTGGCATTTACCTAGTGGGTGTGGCAAGGCCGACAATGAAATGTCCGTTGTTCTTCTTCATGATTACTCGTCTGTGAGTAGCAGATGTTTTGTAAAATGTTGAACCCTGGCCAGTAATCTGCTCAATAAAGGGTAAATGTTTTTAAAAGAGTTTCATCTACAAACCTGACCAAAGACCAGATAGCAGTCAAGATGTTAAATATCAACATTACAATAATACCAATCACAATACACCACAAAATGTTTACATTTCCATTTGCCCATAACAAGCTTAGGATACTTTTAGCATTAATGGAACTGGTCCTTACTGGCAAGCTTATGGAAATTTTAATAAAGCAATAACATTGTGATAGTGAAAAACACCCTTACCCTTTTATTGTAAAAGTTACACTACTGCTGCAATAGCATTTTGAGCATGTTTAGATTACAACCAATGAATTCCTCGCTTCCTATATTAGTCCTAGCACTTTACCATTTCCAAGGTTTAAGGATTGCTACTGTGACTGAGTTAAGGGAGATAACTCTTGTTATTGCCGGATAAATGTAAATGTGTGTATGTAAAGGTAATGGTATATGTGCTTAATGGGATGGTGATAATAGGTGTGTTTTTAATTGTTTTATATCTGTAAAACTATAGATACTTAGAAAACACAGCATGGCACTGATGTCAACTATCAACAATTCAGTTGTCCTTGTTGTCTTCCTTTTCGTGTCATAGACTATCATAAAGCACAGATAGTGTGAGGGGCAGTGGGGTAGCCTAGTGGTTAAAGTGTTCGCTTATCACGCCGAAGACCTGGGTTCGATTCCCCACATGGGTACAATATGTGAAGCCCATTTCTGGTGTCCCCTGCCATGATATTGTTGGAATATAGCCCAAAGCGGCATAAAACCAAAACTCGCTCACTCACTCACAATGAGTCACATATAGTTTGATGAATCAGTACCTCCCAGTATTGAAGTTATTAAACTGTTGTGTTACAGTCTGGAGCTGAATATGGATCTGCCCCAAGCCCAGGGCTCGGCAGTTGGTGCTAGTGCCTCCACTCAAGCCTCCCAGGAACAGGTAAGATAATCCATGGAATGTACACCTGTGTGATTCTACAGTAGGTCCCATTATCACGTTCTGGTTGAATGGAGACTCTGATGGCCCAGAGAGTGTATCATGCTCTAGTGGTGTGGACCGGTGTTCATACTGTCAACGACTGGTGTGACACTTGTACATTATTTTACATGTCACTGTGATAATGCTAGAATATTTCTGATTGTTCCATTAAATGATATTCACATTCATTTACCCTTCATAGAAACAAGGACATGGGTTTCATCCTGCACTATCTATATGCTTTATTTATTGTGCTTTCTGTTTTCTATACATCTGTTTTCTATGCATTTATTTTGCGCTATTTTCCATCTATATTCTGCCACTGTTTTTCAGCAGTATATATATTCTCTGTAAATGTTTTGTCTTGATTTCTGAGATACCAACAATCAACAAAATAAATAATTTAAAGAGTTTCATCGTCAGATGCTGTTGTCAATAGTAACCCTTTTATAGCCGATAGGTAAGACGGACTTACACAGTTGTCTCATGACTAACCTTAAAGTTACTGCAGTTATAGCTGAGGTTATTCACCACTTACCAAACTAGGATAGTTTTCAGGATTTGTTTGATTTAAGGTTTTCTCAGATATCGCAGAATGCCACAAGCCTTTCCTCCATGTAGAATCCTTGATGTATACATAGATCCCATTCATAATCTAGTTTGGGTTGGTTTCAGGATGAACTCACGAAAAGATTGGCCAACCTACGTCAGATGTAAAGTACCCATCGTCACCACTGTCAAAGTTGTTGTTCAAAGACAATGCGAAATGGCAATGTCAGGACCTTGGTGAGATAGTACGCTGCACCCAATACAAACCACCGCCATCACTACTCAACTGGAGGAGTAAGTGCTCTCTACAACTGGAAGTTTCCAAGGTTTCAAAGACTTGTGTTTTCTAAGTATCAAGTATGTTCTGGCATATTACTCACAAATCTTGTATGAAAAATGACAAAACGATTACATGTATCATGTATACTGTTCATGTTATTTAAACTGAGATGTACATGCAACAAAATTGGTTAATAGGTTCATTATCATGATAATTATACAAGGTAATTCAAGCTTAATACAACAAAAGACACTCAGTGTCAACAGGGACATGACAGGTGTCTTCCAGTTAGAGATACTTAATTGTGGATTCCTAACAGTGAGAGATTGACTGAACATTTAAAGGAAGTTCATATGTTTCACTATGATGACTGACACACTGCTACGTTAGAGAAATAGACTTACAAGGTTCAGCACTATGGTTGTGTTGTGCAAGATGGCCTTGATGTTGATCGTACACACTGCCCATTGTACAAGATGTCTTTATAAAGGTCTGTATGTGTTGAAGCATGTTTTAATTGTGGTTTTTTTTTTGTCTTTAGAAAATAGTTTCTTTTTGGTTGATGACCAGGAGTATTTTTAATCAGATTAATTTGTCGTGTCTAATGTACAGTGCAATTGTTCAACACATTTTCAAGTAAATGTCTTCAATTACAAACTTGTTTTCCTGTATGTATTTAAGTTTCTTTTTGATAAAGTTCAACCAGTGGTCTAGTGGTTTTATGTATCAATATCTTCAGGTGCCATGTTTTTTCTAATCCCAGTTTTACACTACTATTGATTTCTTTCCATCCCCATCCTCCCTAATGCAAGAGATTCAGGAGTTAGTTGGTGTCTGCGGACTGCTTCACATGAAGCTTTCTTCGCAGATGGCATCCTGTGATGTAGCTGAAAGGCTGTTCAGTATGGCATTGAAACAAAACTGACTCTTTCCTTCCTGATCATAGTTCAATCAAAACTTGCCTGTGCAAGGTATATGTCCTAGGAATATTGTCCAGTTATGCCCCATGTTTTAATCTAATGTTGTATTTTATTTGTAAATATTTATCAATTTCTCTGATTTTGTCCAGTTCATACATTGCTAGCATCCGATTAATAATCCCTATAGCTTGCCTGAACACAATCAGTAGTTGTTTCAAGTGACAGGACAGTTTCAAGACACTTGCATGGCTTCTTATTATTTGATGTCCTTGAACCTGGATGGGTAATAATGGCATCAGTCTCAATAATGAGATGTCAGTGGAAATTCCCACATAAAGATACTGCATATACAAAATTGGACATATGTCTTGTTTGCTATTGTTTCACAGACAACTGATAAATATGAAAAGGGAATCGATGATCACATGCTGACAGTCTTCAACCTCTCACAGACAAGCTTTCACGTTGGTGACTGAGTTTTGTATGTGTTCTTGTACATGAGAAGCATGTTGATGTTGTTCAGTGGTTTCTGTATTATACTCAGTTAGATATTTGTTGCATAAGGCTGTACGTTCGGATTGTAAATAGTACCATTTCATATGAATAAAATTATATCAAATAATGTTGGACTAATGAGTTCTATGTTGGTTATCACCAGTCAGCAATGTTTCAGCAATGTTCCAGCGTGACAATGGCCTGAAAATAACTGAGTCGGGAGATGACAAACCTGTGACTGACGTCATGAACAATGTCCTCCCTCTGGCACACACAAGCAACCAAGTACATGTGAACATCAAGTCCACTCGGTCATCTCCTGCAGCTATGTGGACTAGCTCAGGTTACCACCAAACCTATTCAGACCTGAAATCCAGGTTTGGGTTATGAGCTTAACTGGTTACATAAGTATCATCCTGGCCGCACCTTTCATCATCTGTTTTCCTGGGAATTGTTGGACAGTTTGGTTAACCCTGATTTCCTTGTAGAATACGTCAACTCCAATTTATTAGGTCAGTTGCTAGATATTGATGTCAGCATTGACCAAGACGTGGACATATTTGGACTTCATTCATATTGTTGGACATATCAATGTTTGATATGTTTCAGTTTATTTCCGCCAAGGTTTGTATTTTGTGAAATAAAGAATGTCACCTTGTGGCATTCTTGTGGATCGTGGACATTAAACCCATTTTCAATGTCATCCAGGAAAGCATTGGATACATCACATTATCTTCTAACTGTCCACAAATGTAATTTTCCTGGCTGAACTGGTCCAAACATCCTTAGTAGCCAGTCTGCAAAAAATACTGCAGCATACGCTGTAGGTGAATTCAGAGGAGGGGTCATGATCATTCAATGCTCAGTCCATAAACCACAGGCTTGCCTGGCACAGTGTATGTACAGCTTAGGCGGCAGTGTAAAACATTACAATACATGTGAAATCTCCTGAACAATCTTCTCCGATTTATCTGGGCCAGTTAATATTCCTGTAATGTCTGGAACCATTATTATTCCTGCAATATCTGGAACCATTATTATTCCTCTAACATATGTAACAATTACTCCTGTAATATGTGGAACACTTATTTCTGCAATATCTGTAACAATTATTCCTGCAAGATCTGGAACAATTATTCCTGCAATATCTCAACACTTATTCCTGCAATATCTGGAACATATTATTCCTGCAATATCTGGAACATTTATTCCTGCAATATCTGGAACATTTATTCCTGCAATATCTGGAACATTTATTCCTGCAATATCTTGAACCAGTATTATTCCTATATTATGGAACCTTACGAGCAATTTTTAAGGCAAACTTATTGAATCCGCGTATCTCCGGAAACCTCATCCAGACGGTCTTTTGGGACCTATTTTCACATATATACAGAACTAAATATATAATTGTGATTTGTTAAGCCGAGAAAGTTCTAAACGGTTTTTTACGAACGGTATCGTGCATATAAACCAGGTTTCATTGTATACAAACAAATGTATAAGTGGTACTGTCAGTGAAAGAGTAGGTTTATCTGGGATAAACATGGTATCAAACAAATACGTCCCCTTCAAATTTAAGACATTGCATTCAAATATACCGCGTAATGAAGACCTTGTCAAGGATCATGTAAAGACTAATAATTTGTGTATTTAGTGGAAGTATGGATACCGAAAGACATTATCTACTTCACAACTAAAATATCCTGTTCTTGTGGCTGGATCTTGTCAGGTGGTCTGGAGTGAACATCAATCACAAAACATATTTACTTTTAACATAGAAACAATATCCCTGATACGCCTTTCCATGTGGTATTGTACAGAGCTTTAAAAAAACGTGGAATCATGATGCTAAAAATCTATCCTTAAATCTGTAGTAGAGACCGGAACGAAAACATCATTGTCGACTTGGATGAGATAGGAAGGTAGCGAGCTGACAACACCGAACAGACCTGCACTTGTTTCGTTTATCTCACTGTGGCCGATGTCGCGTTCCCATGTCGGAATGCACAGAAAGTAGCAAGGCTGATGAATCACGCTGATTTACATAACTCTAACCCGGTTTGTGTTGTGACTGAAGCGCCATGGGCCTTCTTGATCCCCAGGTTTCTGTGTCGATTCCGATAATGTGATATCGACTGTCTGGACGGTATAATGTGTCGCAACCCCAAGCTGAGTTTTTGAATTTTGGTTATTTTTTTGAACGAATTAATATTCGTGTTATTACATGAATCAGCGAAAATACATAGACTCACCGATAAAGGATGACCTAAAATATATGTCATTTTGGAATGCCTAATATGGATAAAGGGAGAAAATCAATCTAGATTCTAGATTCTACGTAATCTTCGTCCATCTCCTCAGGCAAAGCTTGGGTCGGTAGTCCACCATGTTCTAGTACCATGTCACGTGGTGTGAAACATTATTTGAGGATCATTTTGGGACACAGACTGTACAGGTCTACGTCCTGACCCCTGGAAGATGAGTGCGGATAGTTGGGTTAGCCGAGTTTAGAGTTCGATCTCCGAACGCGGGTAATGGACCATTCTGTAGATGCTGACTCCCGGAAGGTTACCTAGTCCGGGTACTGGATTGCCCGCACTCCTCAGGACAGTACCGTCAACTACCATCTGGACGTGGAGCCGTCAGATACTAGGAAGAGCGCTGGAAGCTTCATCTGAAGATCTGGGACTCCTCCAACACTGTGATTGCTGTTGTACAGAGACATGGACGGGACGATAGTGGACAATCCCAACTACAGTGTAATGACGTGTGGGGCTGCGTGGGATATAAATACAACAAATGGGTCACAAATGCCCATTATGAAGTCATGAAGAAACCTTTCAGGTTAGTAAGTGGCTCTTGAATTGTTGTCACTAACTGGTCTTCCTTCTGGGTCGGAACCTCAGATGTTGTCCAGTTTGGAATTTGGAGGATCAGCTTCATACTCTTCCTCACGGATTTCCCCAAACTGTTAGACATCTTCGATCTGCGGGACTTCAGGCTTTCCTCAAACCTGTAACCGACACATCTCGATAGAACTGGAAGACTGCTGAAAGGTTATTAAACCTAAAAAGTACTCACTGTGGAGACAAGAAATGGTGCGCATTTAGTAGTCAATATGTAATTTCAATACCTTTTGAATCTGGTCAGCATTAGGACTAGGTCCATGCACCCCCAACGGTACCCCAAATCTGAAAGACCCAAGTAACATGTGGAGTGAAGTGACACGTCACAATCGAGTTCTCCAGTTGCACATGAGAGAAGTGATATTTGTTGCTTATAAACATCGCACACATACAGATGACTTACAGGGAGAAAATTATATTAAGAATTCTTTCGAATTTAGCAGTGGTTGGATTGAGCGATCGATAGCTACCTTTGATATAATTAGTATTCTGTGATTTCGACACAAGAGTAAAATGTGTTGGAACTGCTATATGCCCGAGCTTAATGCATGACGTTTTTATGTAGTATAGTATACCCATATGCATGCCAACCCTGTTCCATCACCACCCATAACACACGAAACAAAGAAATCAACATGGCGCTCCCTTCACAGCCGACTTCAGGCACTGTCGACCTTCATTTGGTTTGTAATAATCCGCTGTGTGGTCTTCACAGAGCAGCATCCTCCCGGCAGGCAGACTCCACTCACACGGATTACAGACACGGATTCTTGGACAAAAGTAATTAATCCAGGTTCGAGGATTATACGGTGGATTATATAATCCGTCCAGCTTCCTCCAGTTCTACCCTGGACACAGCCATTAGCTAGGTCCCCATCTGCTATTCTATACTTTTCCATCAGACTTTCAAATGAATTCAACTGACTGGGGATATTTGTAACGTTATGCCATGGCAGCAGGCAACAAATGGGCCTTGTGACGTTATTTGATTGCATCCAGTGTGAGTTAAATTGGCTTTGACATCAGGTTAATGTCTCAACCTATAACTGCCCAGGTTTACTGTCCATCCGACATTGAACGGGTTCCATGGCGTGTGAGCTTCAGGTGAGAGGGACGCAAGTGGTGGTGTGTGGTCCTGTCCTGTCCAGGTCACATATCAGTTGAAGTTAAGCAACGTTGGTCACGGAGAGTCCTTGGGTGAGTGACCGTGTATTGCAGTTTGACTCCTGAGGGACTAAAGTCATGCCCTACAACGCAGCGCACGTGGCACGCGTTGGTTCAACTAAGCTAATGTTTTCTTTATGAATCACATTTTGGCAATATTGCGAGCGGGAAGTGACTAGTCATGGGCAGCAAAAAGAAAGCCCTCTGTTTCACTTTTAAATCCAGCCCGCTTCATCCAGGCGAAGGTGTTCCATACACTGCATATATACACGATGCAGTGGTTTCTCAGAAAACCTCTCTACAAATGACCGACTCTTGGCAGATTTGGTGAAGGACTTCACCTGGTTTACTCCCATCGCAACAAAATCAACCTCAAATCCCAGATACTGTCAAACAACTTTGGTAGGCTTAAAATAGCTGTGGAATTCCTTGTTTTCATCATGAGTTTTGACATGCACCACCCGAAAATCATCCGATAAACAAGTATGTACCAAAGTACACAGCAAAACCACAAAGAGCCTCCACATTAATAAAACCCCACCCCTAATTGGCCTATATAAACGACTGTGTGGACCGAGTGTGATGTTTCTAATAATTCTTTCAAGACTCTGTATGTTATTATTATTATAGTGGTAGACCTTTGCTGCTGTTGAAGCTTGGTTTGTGCTAGCAGACCAAGGGTCATACATACGAAGAAATTGGAAACCGCCATCTGTGGATCCTCTCACCACTAAGGGAAGCAACTCTACCAAGCGCCATTTCACCACAGATCAAGGACAAATTACTCAATCTACAATATTTGCTAAGCATTTTGTTGTAATTTAAATATATACTTAAACATAACAATATCTTTATCTAATTCGACGAGACCTTCTTTGACCATAACCCGCCGTGGTATTGCTGGAATATTGCTAAGAGCGGCGTAAAACTAAACTCACTCACTCACTCATTGACCATATAAATATAACTATGGGTGTTTTATGTATATAGTTCTGTGAGAACGCATGTATCTTTCAAAGCATTTAATTTTGTGTTGAAACGGCTTCAGCTGAAC